AACCGTTTCTATTTACGCGATATTTTACGACCGTGAAATATCCGTTCATCAAAAAATAACGCAGCTATTGCTTTATTAATGCTGCCTATAGATGCCACAAGTGTTGCTGGAGGAAGAGGGCTTGGCACGGAAGAACCACAAGCCTATCAGCAAAAGAATGCATTAACAATTCATGGGAATTCTTCCATCAACTTAAAGTTTCTGCACAGCCAAGGATCACCCGCGCGTCACTGCGAGATGACACTAGTGTCATCCGAAGTGCAGATGTCCATCGACTACTGGCTCAATGGTGGGTATTTTTCTTTATCCGAGGATGTAAAAGAGTGTAGCTGGGCTTTTCTTATTCTAGTTATGTCCACAATGGTCTTCTCTCTGACGAAAACAAAATCAATATGTTGATAGTCAAGAGGTCGCCAAGAAATTCACTTGATTAAAGGTAGGCTTTTTGTAGTAAAACTGGCATACCGCAGGTTAAATAAAATGGCATGAATGCATCCTGTCTTCGGTGGTTATTTCTTAGCTGATTCTGATTCTTAAATGGGACAACTTCAAAACTGAAATGTTATATTCAGAACTGCAGATTCGCCATAGCTGATGTCCGAAATCTGATCAATCGAAAAATTGTGAATAAAATTTCGTGAGGGAGAGTGCAGGTTAGATACGAAAGCCATGAGATACCACAGCTCAAAAAATCTGTCCCATGGAAGGCCAACTGCCCACAGAAAATAACTCCTGTTGAACCCGGCTGATGGTCTGACCGGGTGGGGATTCCACCAGGAGAGATGGCACGAACCGCTCGGAGCCGTCGCATCGCTGGACCAATCGGCAAAGGGCGTGCTGATAGAGAACTAGCGAGAGTCCTAATCGTTATAACGACGGATTCAGCGTTGTTAGTGTTATAACGATGACATTTGACGTGTGTCACCGCCGAATTACGCTCTGTTGAAATTCCCAATGAAGAACATAATAAGCAGGGCGTAACTGTAGAATCCACCTGGAGGAGGGTTTATTGTGTACAAAACCCGGAGGAGCTGTCTCGGGTGCCTGTTGCCACTTTTTGTCCCGCCTCGGCGGCAAGCCGCGGCATTGGGAGTGGACTAGCCTGTCCTCGCTATCCGGTGTAGCTGCAACTCTCCCTGTATCAGGGGTGACAGTGGCTCATAAGAGATTGTCTGCGCTTTCTCTTGTGGCCCGGTTGGCCGCATTGGGACAACGTCACGTGACCA